TAAAAGTGTAAAGTTTGGTGTGTGTGTGTGTGATCAGAATATAGACTGAATAAAAGTGTAAAGTTTGGTGTGTGTGTTCAGAATATAGACTGAATAAAAGTGTAAAGTTTGGTGTGTGTGATCAGAATATAGACAGAATAAAAGTGTAAAGTTTGGTGTGTGTGTGTTCAGGATATAGACAGAAGAAAAGTGTAAAGTTTGGTGTGTGTTCAGGATATAGACAGAAGAAAAGTGTAAAGTCTGGTGTGTGTGTTCAGAATATAGGCAGAATAAAAGTGTAAAGTTTGGTGTGTGTGATCAGAATATAGACAGAATAAAAGTGTAAAGTTTGGTGTGTGTGATCAGAATATAGACAGAATAAAAGTGTAAAGTTTGGTGTGTGTGATCAGAATATAGACAGAATAACAGTGTAAAGTTTGGTGTGTGTGTGTGATCAGAATATAGACTGAATAAAAGTGTAAAGTTTGGTGTGTGTGATCAGAATATAGACTGAATAAAAGTGTAAAGTTTGGTGTGTGTGATCAGAATATAGACAGAATAAAAGTGTAAAGTTTGGTGTGTGTGATCAGAATATAGACAGAATAACAGTGTAAAGTTTGGTGTGTGTGATCAGAATATAGACAGAATAAAAGTGTAAAGTTTGGTGGGTGTGATCAGAATATAGACAGAATAAAAGTGTAAAGTTTGGTGTGTGTGATCAGATTATAGACTGAATAAAAGTGTAAAGTTTGGTGTGTGTGATCAGAATATAGACAGAATAAAAGTGTAAAGTTTGGTGTGTGTGATCAGAATATAGACAGAATAAAAGTGTAAAGTTTGGTGTGTGTGATCAGATTATAGACAGAATAAAAGTGTAAAGTTTGGTGTGTGTGATCAGATTATAGACAGAATAACAGTGTAAAGTTTGGTGTGTGTGATCAGAATATAAACAGAATAAAAGTGTAAAGTTTGGTGTGTGTGATCAGATTATAGACAGAATAAAAGTGTAAAGTTTGGTGTGTGTGATCAGATTATAGACAGAATAACAGTGTAAAGTTTGGTGTGTGTGATCAGAATATAAACAGAATAAAAGTGTAAAGTTTGGTGTGTGTGATCAGATTATAGACAGAATAAAAGTGTAAAGTTTGGTGTGTGTGATCAGATTATAGACAGAATAAAAGTGTAAAGTTTGGTGTGTGTGATCAGATTATAGACAGAATAAAAGTGTAAAGTTTGGTGTGTGATCAGAATATAGACAGAATAAAAGTGTAAAGTTTGATGTGTGTGTGATCAGAATATAGATATTAATAAAATTCCTTCTATCTGCTTTGTCTCTCTATCTCAGTGTCTATCAGTGGAGGATCTGCAGCAGGTCTTGAGGAACTACAACAGTTCTCAGGGTGTCCAGTTGCAGGATTTCTTCACGTTGACTCATGCATGCTGTTTATTTCTGAGCGATCCGATCGAGACCTGTAAAGCCATACGAGATGGCCGATGGGGAACAGAGACGCAAAACTTCATCGAATACCTCTATGGCCACAATCACGATCATAACTTCACCACCGATTATCCTCCTCATGGAGACCTCACTGAATATGAGGGTGTGGAGAAGATGTTTTACGATATGGAGGAGCACTATCAGCCTGACACTCAGCAGGTTAGAACAACTGCTTTGTTAATATTATTATACACCGTTAGCAAAACTGTAATAACACAGTGAAATTATTCACCCTCAAATATTTATCAAGTGATATTTCTCAAGCAATGAATGTTTCACAGTATTTTCTATATTATTTTTTCACTTTATATTTTTTAATTGAATTAAAAATGGCAGTTTTCAACCCAACTGTCCTTATTTGACCCACTATTGGGTTAAAACAACCCATAATTGCAACCCGAGCTCATTGTGGAAACGTAGCCCCGCGGACGTTTCTGCGGACCGCGATTTACGTCCCGGGAGGTACGTATTCGAGCGTTTTTTTTGTTTTCGCGGATCCGCGAGAGGCCGCTGTGCGCGCGGCGTTCGCGCCCGCACCGTTCTCGCACGAAAAGCCGCCGGATCGAAAAAAAAAAAAAAAGCAAAAGCCCTCGTCTTCGATTTCGACCGCGTTTTCAGATCCAACCGCGTTCTCGCCCTTATTTTTCGGATTCCGTTTTTCGTCTTACCTGATATCTGGAACCTGCTGTTCCCCGGACTCGATCCCGGTCGTCGTCCACCGCAGCCGGCTACGGCTCCTCCTCCGGGGCCTCCGCTCCGCCGACGCAACACTGTGAGCTAAGTGGACAAACTGATTGCGCCGGGAAAGCCCTCCACTCGGAGGCGAGCCGTCGGCCGGCGAGCGCGAAGAGGAGGGGCGGAGCGGCGCCACACCGCCCCGCAGCGTTCGCTCGAAAAAAAACAAACGCGGCCTTTACGTACCTCCGGCCACGTAAATCGCGGTCTCCAGAAACGTCCGCGGGGCTACGTTTCCAGAATGAGCTTGGGTTGCATAATTGTTTTTAGAGTGCGTTATATTATTTCAATTTTACCATATTGCTATAAACAAACTGGTTTATAGTGCTTTTGTCCAGCCATTTGTTATTATTTACCATGAATTAGAAGTTGGAAAATAGCTTATTTCTGCATTACAAAATAAAAGCCCCATTTAATGAAATCTACTTGGAAAAGATTCACAAGGGCTCCGTAAATCAGCCGTCACCACTGATGCTTATCTAAAGAGTAAAAGAGATGCTAATTACTACTTGACTTTTGTCACTGAGAATGACAGCGATGCCCTGAAGACCCGATGGAAACTGACACTTGATGGATGTTTCGTGCTGACGGCCACATCTGTGTTGTTCATCTGTGTGTTTTAGGCTTGTCTGTCTATGAAGGACGTCCTGGAAGAGAGCAGCTACCCTCACGGAGACCACATTCACACAGAACTGGACGCTGTGCTGGGAAATGTTCTTTATCATGCCCTGCGCGGAGACTGTATGAAAGCACACCACCTTCCTGAATCACAGTACTTCCTGGACTACATTTTCGGCCATTTTGGCTCAAACAGTCTCACTCTTCACGGTATGACTGCAGGATAAAGGGCTATAAGCCTTTGATGACATTATAAAGTGTTTATAAGTCTTTGACTAAATGAGAATGACAAGATTAGAAACAGTCAAGACGAAAGTATATCAAAATCAGAACTAAATGAGGGTAAAACTACACTCAGATTATATTTGAATAAAGTCTAACACTATTGTAATATAAAGTGTAATACTCTGCAGTCTGTTTGCTTTGTAATGCTGCTCATCTGTTGTCTTGCTGTCTGATAATTGACTTTGTTCTTCAGATTTTGAGGAGCTTCTGCATAGGTTAAATCTGGGTGGAGAAGAGCATGAAGATCACGAAGACCATCCTCATCCTCATCATCATCTCAGAGAAAGCCAGCAGAGCAACAGCAGCTGGGACTCGGTAAACATTCACACTTCCACACTGATTCCTGTCTGCTGAAACACATATAATAACAGTGACAGATTACAGACGGCTTCACTTGTTGATGTTGGGTTTTCATTTGTTGGTAAAGATCTGGAATATAGTGATCGCACGGCACTCTGGAACACTTCATTCTGATTGGCCAGTCACAACATTCCAAAGCTTATCTGTTTTTCTCAGATAACAGCCACTTAAATCAACCTAGTGAAGGTAGAAATGTTATTATTATTTTTATAAATATTATTATTATGATGATAAAACATATATATAATATTAAAAATGAGATAAAAAATGTTTTAATTATTATCTATTGTTATTTTTTATTATTTATGTAATGTATTTAAATTATTATTATTTTTTTAATTATTATTATTATTATTATTATTATTATTAATTAGGATTATTTATATTATGTATACTAAATCTAAATATATTTTATTAATATATATTTAATTATTTTTCAAATATTTCCCATGGTATTTAACAGAGCAAGGACATTTTTCACAGTATTTTCTATTAAATCTTTCTTATATTAAATCAGCCTAATAAAAATATTATTATTATTATTATTATTTATTTATTATTATTATTAATATTGTTGTTGTTATTAATATTATATTATAATAATATTATTATAAAAGTGTATTAAATGCTCAACATTAAAATAAGGAAATAAATATTAAAATTTAAATTAAAATGTTTTTAATTGTTATAATAGTACGTTTTTTTTCTATTATTATTATTATTATTATTATTATTTTAAGTACGATTTTTTATTTCTTATAATTACATGTAATTCATGTATGTAATGTATTTAATTTATTATTATGTTATATTATGTATGCTATATATATATATATATAATAAAATATGTATAATAAAAATAAAAAGTTTTATTTATTATGCATTATTATTATTCTTTAATTAATAAGTATTTGTTAAAATATAATATAAATATTTTTTTATTTCTCATGTTAAAAGAGCAAGGACATTTTTCACAGTGTTTTCTATTATATTCTTATATATTTAATCAGCCTAGTAAAGGTAAAAATGTTAATATTAATATAAATATAAATATTAATATTAAATATAAATATATAAACGTATTAAGTGGTCAACATTAAAATAAGAAGATAAATATTAAATATATATTATAATATAATATATTAATATTTTTCTTCTTTTTTAAATATTTGCCTAATGATGTTGAACAGATTCAGGAATTTTTCACAGTATTTCCTATATTGTTTTTTCTTCTGGAGAAAGTTTATTTGTTTTATTTTGGCTTGAATAAAAGCAGTTTTAAATGTTTTTGTTTTATTAATTTTAAGGTCAATATTATTAGCCCTGTAAACAATATATTTATTCGCTGTATACTAGTGTCCTGAAGAATATCTAGCAAAATATTATTGACTGTCATGTCAAAGATAAAATAAGTCAGTTATTAAAAAATAGTTATTAAAACTTTTATGATTAGAAATATGTTTAACAGAAATTGGAGAAAAAAATAAACAGGGTGGCTAATAATTCAGGGGGTTTATTCATTC